CCGGGCAGCTCAGGCTCCGGTCCTGTCCTGTCAATGATCCCATACAAGCCAATAGCCGATATCTCTCTGGCTTGAATGGGGACAGGACCTAGGCCACAGAGTTGGCTGATTTTACACATTGCCTAGGTTATAACTAGACACAAATAGTAAACAAATGTACCAACCATCCAAGTTATATGCAGTCAGTTTGGTTGGGATGGAAGGCTGTGTTTGAATTCGTTCTTTGTGCTATTCCTGCCCCAAGCAAGCAAAACGTGATCCCCCTCCAGGCAAGAAGCCTATGAATAAGTGAGCACAAGCTAGCCCAGGCTGTTAAATACTCTTAGAAAACATAGTAACAAGGACATGTGCTATAAAGACTTAACAGATTAATCATGGTGTCTGTTTTTAAGCAGAAATTTCTACTGTCTTTATTTGGGACTTAACAATCACTGTGACTGAATATCATAGCATAGATGTGGTAAGTTTATAAACACATATTCTTGCCCCAAGGGCTTCCCTTCTTTTGGTGAGATGCTGCTGTAAGAGGTGGGAGAAAATAAAGTGAGCCAAGGCTGTTGAAACAGAATTAGGCTTCACTGCAGGGTATGTGTCCCACAACACAACCCACCTGGTCTCCAGCCAAGTCATCCTCTTTCGGGGATGTTGCCTGAACCTCTCAATTTACTGCCACCTACCAGCTATTTCCCACCTGCCCCTTCTGATTTCCCCCTGCTTATTCCCTGAGCCTGGCACAGTTCCTGTTTGATCTCCTCCTACCATGCGATTTGGTCCTCGCTACCTGAAACGAAGCTCTCTGCTAACGCTCCATCCTTCCATGTTTCTTCTGGTGCCGGAGGGCAAGTCCTGATTCCTTTTATCTCCTCCCACCTTAACTTTCTGGCTCCTCCTGGTTGCAGCTCTGCCTGGCAAGACCTGACTTCATACTTTTCTGGGTCTAGAGGCAGGCTCAGTTGTATCATCTCCCTCTCATACTAATTAAAACCTGCTGCTGCATTTTTATTGCCTGAGAACCAAAATCAGTGAGGTAAAAAGTGCCTAAAGTTGTATGCCAAGAAGGGAGGTGGCCTCTGAGTTATGTAACCTGCACTGTTCATGCAAGTCTCAGTGCCAAAGGTCTGAGAGGGAGCATCTCACAAAGAAACGCTTTTTAGAGAGGATAGAGTGTTACAGTAAGCAAAGGAGAGCTTCCTTCATCTGACTTTCTGTAGTCAGTAGCTTCCCACCGATGCTCCCTCTCCCTCTTTTGCTGTCTGTCAATGTCCTGTTTGTACTTTGAATCATGAATATTACAGCCGGGTGTTTTCCTGCCAGCTCACATCTCCCTGCACAGCTCTGCTGTATTTAATCCAGAGGCTTCTCCGTGAAATGCAGCTACTTATCCCATCACTGTCTCCTGGCCAGATGATTTAGGACCTTAGGTCTTTTTAATCTTTTCAGTGTTGTTGTCTCCGTTACACTGTATGGTTAGAATAGGCTCAAAGGACAGAGCTCCACTTACTTAATCTTTAGCTCTCCGGCTTCTCTCCTCTAACCACTGCCACAGTCCCCAGTTTCAATTGCAGGAGGCCACAGCAGGATCCTCAGCCTGTGGCTTGAGGCCTGAGGGGCGAAGGAAACGGGTCCAGCAGAGCCACTACTGTGATTAGCTTAGCCCTGCTCGGCGCTCTGCCCTCGTTCCCTTTCCGCAACACGAAGCAGCAAAACCCTGATGTTGCAGAGGGCAGTGGGAGCGCGGAGCTGTTCCCTGGCACCGCTCTGCTCTCGCACTGGTGAGCGCACGTGAGGCCGGGCAGTTGGGTTCCCAGGGGCGTCTTCACTTCATCCTGCTCCAGACGCCCCCCTGCCAATTTTGGGGTGGTATTCCCAGCTGGGAGGGTGCGTGCGGGTGCTATCAGCTCCCCGGGGATCTGCTGGGTGCAGCCGGGAGGTGCTCGCAGGGAGGTCTGCTCAGGGAAACATTGCTTTGAAAGGGCACCCGAGCACTCTAATGTGCCAGGCCCTGTGTGCCTGGGGGATGGAGGAGCTGTGCAGGACTCCGGGGTGCTGCCTTGCTGCAGCACCTCACTTTGCAGCACAGCAGAACCTGGGCGGCTCTTCCTCTGATCCTTGTTTTGGGTCATGAGAGGCTGTGGCCACAGCTCTCTTCTAATGCCAAGTACTTATGTTCGAGGTTGTCCGTTATTGAATGAGGAAGAAAGAGCGCTGGAGAGGGACACCAATTTCTATATTTAACTGTGTTGTAAAGCTTTTCTTTTCTTGATTTTAGATATTGTCAGATTTTTTGCTGATAGTACAAAGAATGTGAGCTCTTTAGCTTGGCAGTGCTCAAAATACGTTCGTCGGGAGGCTGCAGACACCAGCCCAGGGCACGTCCCCGGGGATGGATTATGCAGCCAGGAAGAAGGAGCCGCAGCAGCGACGAGGCTGAGACTCTTCTGGGACTTGGGTTGGTTGCAAAGGTGGAAACCCCGAGATAACGGGACCAAAGGGTGACAGGGCTGCTCGGCTGAACCAGCCCAGGTGTCACCAGCTGCTTTTCCGACTGCGAGTGAGGGTTAATGCACAGGCTGTATCCTGGCGGGGACGGAGGCAGGGAGCGAATGTGGAGGAACGCGGCTGTAGCCATAGTAGGGGAACGGCAGGAGCAGCAATGCAGCCCCGCACACATTGTTCCCGGGCCTGGGAAGGCTGCCCCTGCGGCTCAAGGATAATAACTCATTTTCTTTATCCATCCAGTACATGACATTTCTATGGAGATGGGTGCCAGTTAGTACTGGCTGTGTCGGTGCCTCTTATAATGAGGAATTGTTACATCCCTGACTCTGTTCTTTGTGCTTTTCCACCCACTGGAAAGGAAAAATATTTTGTGTTGAAGGAGCTGACCTGAAAACATGGGCACAGCTGGGAAATCTGAGCATGTCCAGCCCGAGCATCGCGTGAAGTACGTATGCTGCAGCAAAATGGAATTTGCAAAAGCTGAGTAGTTGTGTCTGTTTACACTGCTGCTCATGGTGCATTTCAGAGAAAAAGGCATTTTAATTTTACATATTGCCATTTAATATCAAACATTGCCATGAGAAGCTGTTACTAAATACGAAATCAGTTACTAAAGTTCGGTGCATGAGTATGGGGGAATGTTGAGCTAACAAAGTGACTGCTTCAGTGGGTGAAAATATAATACTCCATAAGAGGGCAAGCGTTAGGAAGAAAGGAGATGGGGAGCAAGTTCCTAACTGTAATCGCAGGAGAGAACACAGGGCGATTCTGCCTTTCTCTTTGTTTTCCTGGAGCAGTTAGGCCAGGTGTAGGAAAACATCTGTGAGGCCTGGAGGCTGTAACTGTACGTACCTTGTTTTGTGTGGCTGGGAAATGGAATGAGGGAATGCAGCATTTTTTGAGCTCGGAGATCCCCATGGGCAGGGATCCTTTATATAAACATGCCATTTCTGCTCTCACAGGGAGAATTTTCTGAGGAACATTGTCCTTAAAACTTAATCCCCACTTTGCTGTACACAAGACGCTTTGTATGGTTTGGTTAAGGTGACTCCTGGATTTAAAAATTCAAAAGCTAGAAAGAATGGTTACTGCTGAGGAAGGAAGAGGCCACTCTAATATATCTGAAGTTAGCAGTAACGCAAATCTGAATAAGAAGTATTTCTTGAAGTAGTTCCCTGTTTGCTGTTCCAGACCGAGGGATGGGATGGCAGGGGCTGCCCGTGCTATCACTGTTAAAGCTTCACACAGCAGCACACTAGCAGTTTTTCTTTAAAAAAGGAGTCTGCACCCTGAGCATCCTGGAGCCCCTGCTGCATGGAGGAGGCAGCAATCAGCGAGCAGACAGCGGGCAGCAGCAGCAGCGAGATGGGCTGCAGCACCGAGAGCCTCAGCAGAGCTCCCGCGAGGCCTCAGCGCGCCCTGACACCCGGCATTGCTGCCCTGGGCAGGAGAGCAGCTCCACAGCAAGCTCCCAAGAGGTCAGGCCGTGGTTCGTGCAGCCTGGGCTGCTGTCCCCCTTTCTTTGCCCTCCATCCCCCAGCTGAAACGGCGACACGAACGCGCTCGTGGCCCTTCCTTGCCCCGCTCGTGGCTCTTCCTTGCCCCGCTCGCACAGCAGAGCACAGCCCTTCTGCGCTGCAACCTGCTGCGCCGTGCCCAGCAGCACATGGTGCTTCTTTAGCTTACTGAATACAGGCTGGGGGTGGCTTAGAGAGCACAGGAAGTTATTTGAAATAGTTCAGAAATGACATGTGTTGTACAGGTTTCACTGGCTGCCGGATAATTATCTTGTAGCAAGTGCTGTTCCTCGTTAAAGATTCATGACTGTGTTTGAGGCTGCTCCCCTGGGCCTGCAGAATTCCAGGCTGGCTGGCAGTGAAGATCCTTCTGGCCCCTGTCCCTTATTACTGCGCTGCCTAGGGTAGGTTTTCTCTCTAACACGTTTTAAGAAAGACGGAGAGATTAGTAGGGTGGTAAATTGCCATCACTGTCTGGGTTCCATTGCATGAAATGTGTGTCAAATGTATATTTTTATTCCCTCGAATTTATGTTCCCACGTGTGCACCCCTTGATCATGGTATTCCTGGGTATCTGCTAGAAGGCAGAGAGGACAGTGCTCGGCTAGAAGTTTTGGTGCCTTCATTGCTGCTGGTGCCGCAGCCTGTGCAGGAATGAGCAGGTCTGATTCCTTGGATGTCATTATTATTTATCATGTCCTGTCCAGAAGCAGGGAGGTACTTGGGGTGGATATTTAATGTTGGTGCATGCTGGAATGCACTAAGGTGGGAGGGAGGAAAGCAGTTCCTGCCTGTCACTGTGTTAGTATTTCTAGTGTGTGATCAAAAGAAAGGCCTGACCTGATTTCTGCAGCGCTCAGCACCCACACATCCCCCTGAAGCTAATGAGAAGTGCAGGAGCTTACCGGGTTTGAAATAGAGCCCAGAATATGAGTCATGCTGTGAAGGAGATGCTCGACAACTAAATGAAAATATATACAGATATAGGGTAAGAAAAGCATTTCTGCTGAACGTTTTATTGCGAAGTAACCTTTGGACTGGTGTTTCTATCACAAAGCCACAATTGTTGTGCAGCTCGACAGTGTCATTGAAATGATATTTTCTGTGTTTTAACTAGAGCATCGCCGTGCGTAGAGACAAGAGCTGCTGTGTTTTGCAATCCCCTGCACCGTGCAAGGCCTTTGCAAGGTCCTGGCCACTGCTCTGCTCTCTGCACGGTGAAACTCAGTTGGCGCCCAGAGATTCCCATGTCCCCAGCTGCTTGCTTGGATGTGCTCCATGTGCTGGGGATGCTGCTGCTTACGGATCCCTCAGGCAGCCGCTGGCTGCGTCTGTAACACAGCCTAGATCTTGAAATAGTGGATCCTGCCGGGGCACGGAGGAGGAGGAGGCGCGAAGCCCACGGGACGAACCGCTTTGTCGTGCTGAGCAGCCTCCACAGCTGCTCGTTTTGCTACAGACTTCGCCGCTATCGCCGGACTAGGGAATTCTGAAGAGCTGGATTCAGATGCGACAGGGTTGTTGTGGGAGAGCCTGAGGTTGTGATTCGTGAAGCCTTGTACGTTGGGCAGCAGTCCTGCTGATGTGTCTTGGCCTGGCTGGGAATAGGTAACTCCAGGCTGGAAAAGAAAAACGGTTTGTGGATGTGTGTTCAGTGCCTTGGGGTTTATTATATTTGCTAGGTATCCTGCTTCTGAGTAAACCTAGGCCCCCCACCCAGGTGCAAAGTGTTCCTGACCATCAGGGAAGTTTGGATCTGGATTTGAACACACAGACAGAAGCACATTTTTAATATCCAGAGTGTTATAAGCACCAACCTCTGCGCCGTGTAAACTTCCTGTGCACCTGGTGGAACTTTCAAACCCAGCTGATCCCCAAGCCTACATTACTCCTTCTTTCATATATCCCCTAGACAGCTACCATTGCTTTTTTGTTACCAAAATACCACACATGTCTTCCATGGTCTCAGCCACCACTTAGTCCATCTCAGACCAAGGGGAGGCTAAAATAGCAGGTGATTTCTCAGGTTTTGTGCACATAGGTTTCCCCTGTCCTATTTGTCATTTTTAGGGTACCAAGTTAGTCTCGTTAGTTATCACAGATAACTAATCCACAGTGAAAGAGATAAACTCAGCGTGATGGGGTGGTGCTAGCAGGCTGGAGTATCCCGGAGAGGATAGGGCTACGTAGCGAGCAGGTACCTGATGTCCATAAAGTTGGCAGTCCACTTGGGCGTCCAGGGTGGGCTGCGTTGCTATTGTCGCTGTGCAGAAACCGAAATTCTGGCAAAAGAGCAGAGTCAAGAGGCAGTTATAAAACAGAAGTGAGCTGCATTTTTTACTTTTAATGTATTAAGAAAATAGTCAAATTTTTAAATATTTTATCTGAGTAGTAAAGTGCTTGCTTTTGAGCCTGTTGGATTCAACAGCGAGACTGTGTGCGTGGAATGAAGGGGGAAATATATAGGAATCGAGCTAGGCAAAAGCTTCCTACCCATGAAAACTGCTTGGACTCCATTTCGTTAGATATATAGATATAAGTTTAGTAAAAGTATCATTCACAAGGACTTATATTGTAGCAAAATAGGGCAGAATCTATCCTTTTGTTACATATTTGTTTACTGCTGAGTACAAAGGAGCCTGATTTTCTCGGAAGCCCACATTAAGAAGAATACAAAAATAAATCTGTTTATTAAAAATACTTCTTGTTAAGGACACTTCTGGCCTCAACCTTTTAGAAATACGCTAAAATGCATCAGGATTCAACCCAGATACATCAAGGGGATGAGAAAGGGGAGATACAATTTTAGAAAATTATCCGTTGAAAAGCACACCAGGACAGTGTCCAACTCTTGCACTTTTATCCCCACAGAGGTCTATTCCTGCACAGGGGCAGGTGCAGGAGGGCAGGTTTCTTTTCTACCCCAGAAATGGGTGCATCAGGCGGGGTGCATCAGCTGGCGCGCTCTACTCACAGACTCGTCCTCGGGCAGCAGCTGACAGGCGTCCACGTTATTTTTGCCTTCTTCTGCTGAGCAGTTGGTGGCAGCCACAGCAAACTCGACAAAGACCAAGTGCACTGGGTGGTACTGATAAAACAGGAATATTGTTTAACACACTTTGCAGGGTGAAATTGCAGAGCTGCTGAGAAAAGATATAAGGATGCAAAGATAAAAGATGTTCTAAGAAGTTGCTTTCCAGCTCTGCATCTCCCACTGAAGTCAGAGGGAATCAGGTGGCTTCGATGGCACAAAGGGAAATCAAGTTCAGTCAGGTAATTTAAAGCAAGCCATTTCTGTTTGCAAACACAACTGGCTAACACCAGGCAGTTACCACCAAAGAGCTACTCTGTTCCCGTGTAAGGATAGCCCTAATTCCAGCAAGCACCTGTATCCTGGCCCTGCCAATCTCCAGCAGCTTGAGGTAGGCGCCCGCGGTTTTGCCGTTGTGCTCGTTGAGCGCGGCCGCGACGCCCGTCAGCACCTCCGTGTTGTTGAGAGTTTCCAGCAGCGGACAGTCAGGGCAGACCCGGATAACATCCTCAGCCGAGTCTAGGGGAGGGAGCCAGACAGATTGCATTTTCATCAGGTTACAGGTTATTTCTGAAGACGTTATAATTCAGCGATATGAAACACTGTGGTTCATGGTCTAATATTGCAGTGGAGAGGATTTTTAGCAGTACAAGCTATAGGTGGCAGTGTTTCACGTAACGTTTGCCATTGAAGTTCTGAAATCCTTATTCAAGCAAAAATGTCGTGGGCTTCAGGAGCCCATTTTGAACATTCCTGCTCAGGTTTTAATCGGTTCTCATTCTGGGAAGCTGTCTGTGACACCAGTGAAAAATGTGGGTCCCAAGGAATGGTGGAAAAATGAAGGGGCTCTGGATTACTGGAGCTGTGTGTGCCTGAGTGTGTTGTTTCATTCAGTCACCTATTCTGTAAAAAACGCTTAAGGAATCTCATGCAGAGCCTGCAGAATAGCAATTCCACCTTCCCATGGCCAATACTGAAAGTGCTGAATCTAGTGAATTGCCCTTGCAGAGGGCTCTGAAGTTCAACAAGCCCTGGTAAATTCATGTCAACCAAGGATCAAATTCTTGGGGCTAAACTCCAGGGCGAGGAGCCTGAGTGCCGGCCATCTCCATGTCAAAGCTGGGAACGTCTCCCCTGGTTAGTGTGATCAAATCTGAACTCTCATAGCAAAGGGGACCAAAAGCAGAGGATTACATTTGTAAGTGAATGAAATAAGGCAAGGGCAAAAGGACTTCCAAAACAGCTGGGTTTAGAAAACTCATAAACAGTCATATGTTATGGCATATTTATACCGAGCACTTGCAGTGCCTGAAGTCACAAGGGCTGCTGATCTGTAACGGCCAGATTGAGACCTGAGGAACAAAGTCTTTACCTGCGTGTGAGTGGCATTTACTGGCGACTACAGATAACTTCCCATCCAAATTCTGCAGTTTAACATCACAATCACCTTCAACTGCCTGGAGGGAGACAAAAATCAAAGGGTTACATCATTAAGATAAATAGGAATTTCTGAAAAGGGCAGCTACTGCTAAATTCAAAAGATTAAGTCCTGGCTGAGTGTTCCTGGCTAAGTTGGTCCGATTATCTGCTCTCTGATGGTTGTTATTAGGGGTAATCCATATTATGCATGTTTAGTTCAGGTCTTTCTCTCTTGAAGAGCAGAGAAGGGGCGTCCTCGTGCATTGAGACTTTCTGCAGGGCAGTTTGGTGACATTCTCCCTCATCTGGCTGGTCAGTGGCCAGGGTAACAGCAGCTCTCAGCCTGGCAGGAGCTGCCCTGCAAAGGCCCAGTCACTGCCGAGGAGGAGCAGGGAAGGATTCCCTCCCCCTACGTGGAAAATGGGATCTGAGCCCTGGTGGATACAAGGTGGATTATAATTCAAATTTAGTCAGGAGCTCTGTGAATTGGGCCCCTTTCTAGAAACAGCAAACTGAATTGTTGGTTACTCTGCTTTCCACTCAAAAAGCAAAGCTACCTGAGCTCACATAACTCTTCTGCTTTGCTTAGGGAGAGCTTTTCAGAGATGGGTAGTATTTGCAATACACCCGAAGTATTCCAGGGCAGTAAATTCCAGTGGAGCAATATTTGGAGAGCATCACCCTGGCTGAGGGGAATAGTTCTCTGCAGTCCCTGATGGCCGGACTTGATGGAATTGCATGAAGTTGACAGCCCACACACTGCCCAGGCAAAGCTGTGGCTCGCACCAGTTTGCAGCTTTCCCTGCCTGCTGCTTGCACCACGACAGTGACATCTGAGCAGGTCACTGAGGCCTGAATCTGGAGCCCCTAGGCAAGGCTCTTCTATGTGCATGAACTTCAGGTGAAATGTTAGGCCAGCAGGGACCTGTCCTTCTCCCAGGGCAAGCCATAGAGGAGATCCAGGAGTTTGGCAAGCTGTAGGGACACAGAACGCGTGAGAAAGGTGCTAAATGACTGGAAGACAGAAGCAACACCACTGTCTCATTTGGTGTTTACCAAGCACTCCTTCCTGGTTTCTGCAGACTCAATTCTTTCATGTGGTTCATATTATAGACAAACCATGCTAGACACAACAGGAGTACTAATTCGCTCATCTGTGCTAAAAAATGTTTTTTGCTGAGGAACTACAGTGTCAACAACTCCTTATCTTCTTATCCCCTACTCAAACACAGAGGCCTTTGCATTTACATTATAGGGAAAAAAAAACCTTTGGAGGAGGGATGCAGGGAGTGAGCAGGGAAGATGCCAGGTGCGCATTCCCTGGGGCAGCTGCAGGAAGAACATGTGGCAGGAAGGCAGCTAAAGCCACAGCAGAGTTGCAGGGGGCTGAAGAGGCTCTTCCAGGGATCTAACATTTGCAGCCCGAGCTGACAAGGCTGCTCAGAGAGGCTCTAGCACCAACGCGCTGACCTGGCACTCACGCACAGAGCTGGGCAAGTTTTAGACACTCACGTGTTCTTCGAAGCTCCTCACTGTGCAGTTTTCAAGAGGTATGGGGTTGAGGATGTGGCACTTGGTCTCCAGTAAGTCGAGTTCAAGGAAGAGGACCTGGTTATTCGGCCCCTAGAAGAAAAATACAGAACCTGTGTTAATTACTCTGCAGAACATCAACAGATTTCTCCTCTGGGGCTGAAGTGATCTCTGTTGCTTACTTCCAGTGGATAGCACCAGGTATACCCTAGAGTATCTGTATCAGGAACATGTCTTTACTACATAATTTTGTAATGAATAAATTGATGTTGCATGGATTTTTTTGCCAGCCAAGGAACTCTTAGAAAGTCCAGCATAAATGTAGCGGGCCAGTTCTCCTGGTTTTCTCTTGTATAGTTCTAGAAAAATAACAGCTGCTTTTGTCAATGAGCACTCTCTGTCTATGATTGTACACAGTGGTATTTGCACCATTTCAGCTGTAACATCAGACGTGTGAGTGGAAGCAGAAAGGAGGTTCCCTAGCCCTGAGAGGGACTGCGGCTTGGAAATGCATGTAAGGATGTTTTATTCCAGTGCAAATCAAGAGACTCCATTTAAATTAATGGAGTTCTTTTAGTGTAAAAGTATAAAATATGAGCAAAGCAGTGTCATCAGTGTTTTTGTGTAAATACTCTGGGTAAGCTTCTCATCTCATTCATGTCTTTTTGTTCTCTTGTAAATGGCATCAACATCCTCACTCTCATATCAAATAGAAAACAGCTGTGAAGCTTCATTCTTGTTAGTATTTGGGGCCCTTTTCGTTGTCTGGAGAAAACCAGAGGTTTTGGGTATGTTTACCTGCACCAGATCTTTGGCCTAGACTATCGGAATGATGCAAATAGACCTTAGTGAAACTGAGCCAACGAGCCACAGTTGTTCCCATCTGGGAACCAAGGAGAGCCAGGGAACCGGGAACCAGGCAGAGGCAGGGATCTGGGCCCAGGGAGATAGTGGATCAAGCTCATACCTGCCACAAAATCACTACCTGCATGGAATCAGGGTAGGTGTGCACTGAGGCAATGTTCCCTGCATCACCCTGGTTGTACTCAGGGTTTTGCTCCAGATCAGCTACCGGCCTCACAAATGAGCCCTTTGAGTGACCTGCCCCAACCAGCACGCTCCTTTTCTAAGCCCTTTCTCTCCCTGCACAAAAGATCCCTGGACATTTATTTTTCCCTATCCGTTCTGCTCTTTGAGAGACACTTTCCTGGGAGCTGCATCCCAGCGGCGACAAGGTGCCCCGTTCATGCCAAGGGAGCCGTGCTCCACCTCATCCTTGTGGGAGGATGCAGCCCTCTGCTGGGATCCTCCGTAATTTCCAAGCATTCCCAGTTTCCACGCCGTGCCCTGCCTGCAAGTTCCCCACTTACCTGGGGTAGCACGCGGACATTTTCGATTCTGTTTAGGGCAAACTTGTATCCGTGGTGGCTGTGGTCATTAATATAATTCACAGCTAATGCAGCTGCTGCTTCAGCTTCTGGGTCGTCGCAGCCCAAGGGAGGAGGGGGGGGAGCTGCTGGTACAGCCTGGTGGATTGGAAGCTGAGCAAGCAATATTAAAGCTACTAGCACCTTCATAGCACCCGAGGAAATAAAGTCCCTTTTGGAAATAAAGATCTAAGAATACTCTTCAGATGGCGTCTAGGTAGCTAGAACTGGGGTCTCATTTATATAGTATATCACCCCAGAGTTTGCATGAGCGCATGTCTGATATTTGTCCCAGTTCCAAGCAGGCATTGCAAACAGCAAAAGAGAAAAGTAAATGTTAGGACATCAAGCTGACTGATTAATATTAGCCAAAGTAAATTTTATCGGGTAGAACATTGCGAAGTCTGCTAAAAAGATGAAAGCGTCAGCAAAAATGCGAGATAGTTTTCAGAAACTCTTCTACGAACCAACTTTGGGACAAGCAAGAGGAAAACAATCCCTGCTGTTAAACTTTTGGAGATGCCAGACTTAAGTTTTGCTGTAAACAGGACAGATTCTGTTAGATCCCAAATCTAACCGGATACCAGTGTAAATTGAGGGATCAGTATCATGATGAATTAGAAAATGGAATTCACATCAGTTCTAAGGATCACATTCAGCAGTGAATTTGATTATATAGCAATTTTTATTATTGAATTCATTTAGAATAGGTGATGAGACATTGTTTCTAAGCCTTTTGCATCATCTCTCTGTTTCCCCAGCATAATCAAAATAATTCCAGTAATTCCTGTTCAGCGATTGTAATTTTCCTCTACAGAGCAGGTATCTTAGTGATGCTTTTATGGAATACGGTATACGGACTGGAGGATTTGCAATAAGATACCAAATAAAACAAAAGTGCTTTAAGAGGAATTCAGAGGAAATTCAGCAGCTGCAATCTACAAGAGTACATGAAAAATCCCACAGCATCCACATAGGCATTTGCTGTTGGGATTTTGCACTCCGAGGTGTGTTTTTCAGCTAAGGCCATATGGATAATGAGAACTGAGTGATGCCACACTTAAATCCCCAAGTTTTTGCTTGCTAGGTGAGCTCTGAGCACATCTAATGCACGCTGAGAGCGCTAACAGCCGTTCAAAACAGACTGGGTAATGATGGCTCCGCTTAATAGCTTAATAGTTAAAACAATTTCCTAATAAGTAGCAATGAGATTCAAATCTTCTCATCCTAAAAGAGTGCCTTGACTTCCAGAGTGTGAGTTAGCTTTACTTTTGAATAGTTACCTCTCCTCACTTCGACGTTCAGCATTAAAAATGCCAAGATTATCTATAGAAAAAGAGAAGGGAGGAAGGAAATGTGTGACCCTTGTTTGGAGTTGATGCCATTCAGGTAGAGAGGAGCCCAGGAGGGCTGATCCCCAGCTCACAGTCACAGTCTCAGTCACATTTAATGCGTTTACACAACAGTAACTGGATAACAAAAATACTCTATGGAGCAGATGTCTTCCAGAATGTCTCTACCACTTAAGGTCTTTAATTTAAACAGATTATTTTCTCAAAGATAGATGCTAGCTCAACCAGGAGAAAAGCCTTTCCTGCAGGGATTTCACAGTACGTTTCTATGATCCCTGTTATGCTGGTGATCAGACTGGAGGATTGATCCCTTCTGGCTTTAAAATGTTTGAATCTCTGCTGTCATTTCCAGGGAGGCCAAGAATTAGCTGCACGTTTGAGATGAAGAGAAGAGGTTCAGAATGTTTAGAAGTTTTCGTGTGAGCTGAGCACTTCTCAGAGTGACAGCAGGACTGGAAACTACTTGAAGAAAGCGATCTTGAGTCATTGCCTCTTTTTCCTAGATCTTGGAAGTATGGAAGAGAACATAAATATAGATGGCTCTGTTGAACAGATTAACTGATGAGAAATGAGATCTGGAAGAGATTAAAGAAACTGGAGATAATTCTGTGATGAGCTGTGTCTAGTATGAAGAGAGTCCTGGATACCAGGGTTTACATGCTGAAGAGATTCTCAGGGAAAAGAAACATTCCTCCTCTTTTAAGGAAAAAAAAAAAAAAAAAGTGATTCTGAGGATGATTCTTCCCCCGACACGATGCCGGGTGTTCAGGCATTTGTTCTGTCATGCAGATGATCATTTGTCTTATGATTTTTTTTGGCCTACATGGAACGCTTGCAGGATGAAAACCTGTGTCCTCAAAACACCTTTTGAGTGTTCCTTGTGGGTGTCTTTTGATTGTAGCAAATGTATTTAGAATAAAGTATTTCACTCTTTATTTTTAACCCACAATTCAGTTTCTAACCTATGAAATTATAACTCCTCTTTTCTGATATGGAAATTTAGGCTAAACTTCCAACAGAGGCAGACTAGAATTGGTGGTCACCTAAGTGCCATTTAATTTCACGGGGGAAGGACATAGCTCTTTATCAATAAATTAAGTGTGGTCGTTATGGAGTCTCCCAGGTTTCACATGCTGCTTTTGAAGGGCCCAAGGCCTTCCCCTCTTGGTGCCCGTACGAGCCCCTTCGCTGGGCTGCAGTGGATCAGAAACTACCCCTGTGATCATCAGAGACACCAGTGCACTGCGGAGTGTTTGCCGTAGCACTTCTGAGGGGGTCTTAGGATGTATATGAGGAAGCAGTGATTTGTTTTCTAGAACGGGAATGAACTTGAAAGTGCCAATCCCATACTTCGGTTACAGGTAATATGAAAAGAAGCCTTTCATCTTTTGGACACAGACTGACACGGATCTGCCTAATTATGCCCCTCTGGAAATGAGCTTAGCGGTGTCAGCTCCCCACGGCCCTGTGTCCTGCCAGGATCGGCCCTTTATTGGTGGCTTCCCTCGAGAGACAGCAAATGCAGAAATAACTTCTCACCTAACCCACTGTAGATCTATTCTCACTTCTTCATACCTAGGACATAGTAAAAAGTCGGCCTCTCACAGTGGCTACAAATAGTTCTTGCGGCAGAAGAAACGAGCTGAATTCCACGGGCTCCTGGACAGAAGGTCACGTCTCGACCCCACTGAAGTGAACAACAGTCTCTCACATCAGTAGCGTTAGGCTTCAGCCCCGGTGAAATTAGGTTGCATGAGAGACTTGACAGGGCTGCTGTGTGATGGAAATAGAACAAGTTGGGTTTATTGCCCTTGTTATATAAAATACAGTATTGATTCCATGCCTGAGAGCTGAGGCTCCACTGAATCTCGGTTCTTAATAATTTATATAAACCACAATGGAAAGGTGAGCTGGTAGTTTGATTTCTTTGCCTTCTTTTTTTGTGTGTGTGTGTTTGTTTTGTTTAGTAGAAACTTGCTGCCCCTTCTCAACCTGGTCTGTAAGACAGGCAAGGAATTGCTTCCACACGTTGTCAATTTGACACCTTTCAGAGCTTTAAATTTAAGCAAATTAAACAAGCAAACAGATAAATATCAACTTTTTAAAGCTTAAGATCAAAGTTAAACACTTGTGGGGATTTCTGCGGCTCTCTTTTCAAATTACTAAAATGTCATTTTTTGGTGAAGCAGACAGAACTGGTCCAATTCCCTGCACCACATCAAAAGGTGCATTTCTGAGCAGTCAGGCATTGTACAGCACTACACAACTTAATCACCTTTCGCTTTACACTTGATTAAGTGCATTACTTTTGGATCATGGAGTTCACAAGGTATTGGGACATCAGGACTGACTTCTATACAGCCGTCACCTACACAGAAACCTACACATTAAAGAAAGAAAATATCTGCAAAAGATAAAGAAAGAAAATATCTGCAAAAGAACTGCCATCAAGTTGAAGAGCCCAGCCTTGTACAGGCAGCGTGTTGCTTTCCTAAATGACAGTGTAATCAGCATTAAGTAAATCAAAACCTACCACGCTCGGGAGGAAAAACAAAAACTAATGACAAATGCAGTCCATCAGATTCATTGATTTGTTTAATCTTTTTCCACCACATGGGCAAATCTTCAGCAAATACAGGTTATCTTAGGTGCTCTGCAGTCCAAGATCTCCATTGTGTCCCTATACCAGAATTTTCTGGCTGCAGAATAGTCAGTAAATTCTGAAGTTCAGTCAACTGTAGTAATACAGTATTTTATGTTAATTTTAAAATCTTTTAATGTATTCCCCCCTCCCTTTTTATTAAAATATGACAGTCTTGAAGGGAAGGAAATCTGATCATTTGCCATAACTGTATTATTTCTAGTTAAGAGATTTCTTACCGTGGGAAAGAAAATGTGCAGAAGTAGAATCTGTTGTGGAGCCTCTAGCTTTGGGTGTCCAGCTAGAGGTCCCGTTTCACCGAACTTTCCAGAACTCAATCTGTTTATATCTATTTTCTTTTAACTGTAAAATGGAAATAATAACTACTTCCCGTTTCACTCCTGTGTACTGAAATGACTCACTGAATTTTATAAAATGTTTCTATATCTTTGGGCGGAAGAATTTGTTCAAAACATAAGAGGAATCTAAGAGTCAGTGAAACCACATGGCACTCAGTAAAAGGGACTCGTGGACTTACTGGAGGCATGGCTGGACTGAGAGGATTCAAACCTACGTTTCCAGGTTTAGTATTGATTATTTCAGAGAAATTTTATATGCTAGAGTTTCTCTCTGAAAACTCATTTTCAAAGGCTATGAAAAGCTGTTCAGAATTCTGAATTTCTTAATGGAATGGAAATTCTAATTTTTGACCAGCTCTACCAGGCACAGCCAATTAAATCCATTTTTGTTCTGTTTCGTCTTATTCTCTTTTATTCTTTTATTGTCTATGCCACTGAAATACTTGAGTACCCTCCAGAAGCACAGTAAGCGCCACAACTAGCATTTGTTACATGAGAGTCTATTCTCCTTTCCTTCCCGATGGGAAGATTATATAAGATGTTTTGTCTTAGTAAGTTTTTTGATTGATTTAAATTTCCCCTTTCCCCATTTTCTCTGCCATGTGTTTTGATGTTGCAGCTAGCAACAATAACTGGTTTCGGAGATGAGAGTTCTCAAGCCTCTGCATGATTTTCCCCCTGTATTATGCTGGCCTGATGTCTAAACTCCCTTTCCTAAGTTTTTACACTTTTTTATCCTTTTATCAAGGTCAAAGTTATTTATATTGCCGTGCCACTCTTAACAAAGGGATATTTTTGCCTCAGCCCCGCAGGCACGTCATGGTTCTCTCAGCATCATGCCTGTGTGGTTTGACGGGTGTGGGAAAGCG